TAGTAACAAGAAGCTACTAGGAACAGGTGCCACGCTAGTAGTAACAGGTGCCTTACTAGTAGTAACAAGAAGCTACTAGGAACAGGTGCCACGCTAGTAGTAACAGGTGCCTTACTAGTAGTAACAAGAAGCTACTAGGGGCTCCTGGCCTTACTACGAACGGAGCAAAAGGCGCTACGAACGTAGACTTTTTCTTCCTTTTCTTTTGTGTGGTTTCCAATAGGGATGGCCTCCAACCTAAGTTGCTAAGCTTTGAACGGAAGGTTTGAACAATCCTTTACAGAAAACATCACTCCAATTGGTCCAATGACTGGAAGTCTTTGAGTTTCGACTGCTTTTAAAAAAAGAGTTCCGACATGGCAAGCGGTCCAAGTCATTGCCAATGGCGCTGCCACGAACTGCAGGAGAACAGGTCAACAATTGTTGCAACATCTTTCCCACGAGCTTGTGTCTTCCTGGCACAACCCTAGCTACAATATTGCCAACGATGGTGTTGGGCCCCGGTTTGGTCTGACTGTGCCCGTTTGTGGCCGTTGCTTCTCATTGCTGTGATCCAATTCCATTCCTGGACAAGAACCATAACCAAAGTCTAGTGTTAGCCACCAGCACGCATTCCTCCATTCCTCATAGTTTCCACTTTCTGATTGACAAGAACTCCTGCCTTGCAATCTCTCTAGCAGTGTTTCCCTCCTGCCTTTCTGAATGGTGCCTTTTCGGGTGACTCTCTTGACAATGCGGCTTCCTTGTCGTCTTCAAGTTATTCAAGTGAGTCAAGATTTTCTGATTTGCTTTTCCTGGCAAAGCACCTTGACCTTCAAGCTGGGAACTTCACCAAGCACCAGAGCCAGGTTGCACTCTTCTCCCGGATTTTATGTCACTCCGTGGACCAAGCAGTTTTCTTGAGAGACTGCTGCAGGAAAAGCTTGATAATATGAATTACTGTAGAAAGCATATTTTCTGGCATGCCACTGTCCCATCAAAGTCGTACCACTGTCTCACTTCTCTTAGACATGTGACAAACGTGCTAGTGGTTCACGAGGCCCTTGGCAAGGGCTCCAATGTGCCTGTTGTTAAACCCGTGAAAAAGAGCATAGACTTAGGAGTCTTGCCAGTGCAAATTCCGACTGCGTTCACTGACAGTTTATTGCTGCTATGTCCATTGTTACTCGACTTGCTGAGGTCAAATAATTAGTTGAGTAGAGCAAGGTTTGCAAATTAAACAACAACCGTGAAATCACCTCATTTAATTGACAATCTGAATACAATTTGGAAACAAGTTCACTAATCTCCTCTTTGCGGAACGCACCAGTTCCACGGAACAAGTCGCCTGAGTTCGATCGCCCATTGCGTCGCACTGCATCGCCCATTGCCAGCTTTCCTGTCCCGGAACAAGGACGCTACGAACGTAGCTCCTGGCATCGCTACGAACGGAGCGATCGGACGCTACTAGTAACAAGGGCATTACTTCTAGTAGCAAAAAGCTACTAGGTGTAGGCCATCGCTCTTAGGTTGGAGGCCATCACTAGTAGGTTCTCGCATGTATGGAAACAATTAGACACATTGGCAATACTGGCAAGGCCTAGGGTGTAGGGAAGAAAGATGAAGAAAGTGTCCTAGAACCGCTTGTACCGCTTCGAAGAGAAAGTTCGTGGCGAAACGTTGGGAGTTGGCCTGTGCTTGATTCTTGATCTTGGGGTACAAGTGAGAGAGGAATCACGCAGCAAACCGGTAGTCTTGTAAAGCAACGGGTGCTGGACAGGTGTGGATGCTATTTATCATCCCTTCCGCCCACGAAAAACATGGCCCTCGCCCCTTGCCTAATAAACAACTCCGGTGTTGTTTCTTTTTTAGATTGGAATGCAGAGTCATCAAGATTAATCCTTCCACCTATGGAAAAACAAGTAGGTCCCCCTACAAAAAGCATTGGTGTTGGTTTTTAGAGGGGGGTCTCCAAAATAGAGGGACCTGCAAAGATGGACACCTGAGAAGAGCTTCAAAACCACAAGAGTTGCCTACGACTTTGTGTATTTGTGTATAAGATCATTTGTTCAACTCGTATCAAACAATTGAACACAACTTGTATAACAGCCTTTTCCCTTTGCAGCACCCTTCATTAAAATAGTGATTCTTCGATATTCGTCGTTTGTAATTATTTGCATCAGGCTAGCAACTATCAAGTTTTCATCGCTACTAGGGGTGGAGGCCATTCCTATTAGTAGCAAGGACGCTACTAGTAACAAAGGGCATCGCTACTAGGAGCAACGACGCTACTAGGGGCGCTCCTGGCCATACTACTAGCAACAAGAAGCTATTAGGAACAGGTGCATCGCTACTAGTAACAAGAAGCTATTAGGTTGGAGGCACACAGCGTGAAACGGCGTCGGTGATGTCGTTGTGCCATGCGCCTTTGGTGAGTCGCTCCGTGCCATTGGCGAACGGGACAGGTGCGTATGTAAATGCGACGGTCACTGATGAGCAGCACCATTGGTGATTCTAGTAGTTGGTAATAGAATAACTCCCCCCAAACTGACTTTGGGTGCATGTCAGTAGAAAGTAAAAAGGGCTGTATTTAGGGTGTCCGACATGCGTTTTTAAAGCTGGGTTGTGTTTTTAATAGGTGCTCGGTTTGCAAGACTCTGCAGGGAAGAAGCTGCAGTGGAAGACAGTTGGCACAGACGTAGCAAGACCAAAAACAAGCAAGATTTGTTTCCTGAAGAAACATCCACAGATCACTTGTTGACGGTGATTATCAGACTGAGCAGGAGCTTGCAAGAACTTTTATAGCACAAGATACCATGAACAAACAAGTTCTTCCAAGTGCGGCTGTCATTTTTACAAAGCGAGTCAGAATGCACCACGGTAGCCGCAGGCTGTCGTGGAAGAGGCGACAGCTTTTGATGGCTGTTTTTCTTGTTTTAAAGCGGTTGCGGCCTTCGTTACTAGTAGCTTCTTGTTACTAGGAGCTACTAGTAGCGTTCTTGCTCCTAGTAGCGATGGCCTTTGCTCCTAGTAGCGTCCAGTAATTGTTTTCTCTTTGTTTCTTCATTTTCCAGTTTTGAAACAGCACCTTGGGTTTGTGCTAGGTTCTGCCGCGCAGGAGCACCTTGATTCGAAGGCGCTGGACATCCAGTTTTGCTGTGCGCACCGTCATCAGTCGTCATATGAGTGATCGATGGAGATGTGCAACGCGGTCGGCCGTGGAATGGAGGCAAACAATGAAGCCACAGGTGCTGTGTGCCAACCTGGATCTCGCCGTTTTGGTCCTAAGCACTGAACCCAATTTCTCAGAGGTGCAACCCATGTTTTCTTCGGGACACGACAGGTTGAACTCCGACAATTGCGTGTTTTCACAAGATGTTTGTTCCTTTTCTGATGTTTGCTTTACATGTTCGCCTGTTTTGTATCCTTGCAACGTATTCCACAATGCCGTCCCTTGCAGGGCATGGTTGATCGAGTCTTGGTCAGTGCACATGCGCAAAGTCTCGATGTGGTCTTAGTGCTGAACAAGGCAAGCAGGAGACGAAGCGAACACCAAAGACAGCACACACTAATTCTATGATTTTAAAACTAATTGTATTGTTTGCTGTTTTAGTCACTAATTGTTCACAAGCTGAGCTGATGTAAGCTGTAGCTAGCAAGCTTGAAAGCTACATGCAAAGATGTAGAAGGTTCCGAAATGTGTAGGGAAATGACGCGTGCTCAAATGAACCCCTGAATGGAGGCAGACCTTGTTCCCAGAGGCAGTGAAGCACGGCATAGAGCAGGACACTCGTGGATGACACATTTTGCAAGAAAATAAGGGAACCTACTAGCAAAAGGAATCTAATGGCAATGATTACATGAAGGTAAGGGATTTTTGCCGTGCTTGTGCAGAGCTACTAGTAGCTGCTTGTTACTAGTAGTAAGGCCAGGAGCTACTAGTAGCGTCCTTGCTCCTAGTAGCGAAGCCCTTTGTTACTAGTAGAGCTTTGCTCTTTTGCTCCACAAGCATTTGAGGTTGAGAGACGCTTGTTTGTGTACGAGAAAATCGGTTACAAGGCAGACGGACGTGCTGAGTTGGCCGAGTACCGCAGAAAATCCAAACAAGAATGCATCATTTTTCTTTAGACCTTCTTGAGAAAAAATGTATCTAGCAACTGGTCAGATGGGTCTTGAAGTTTTCCGGGCTGATCCTTCAAACCCAACGCAGTTGGACGACATCTCGAAGTTTGAGGTTCTTTTCGTGAGCGCCTTGGAGGGAGAGGGCTTGGAGGACCTCAGAAGTCTTCTTGGAGGTCGTCAGATGCCAAGAGGTCGTCTTGGAAATCATGTTGTTTCGACGTGCCTTCACGTGCCTTCTTTGCTTTGTGTGAATGTGATCAACATCGAGAATCGTGACAATTGCAAAACACATCAAGATTGACTCTGAGTACCTTTGTTGTTGGACGCAAAAGACGTGTGGATGTTGGCAACACATGTTTTCATTCTTCCACGACAGAACCAGCAAATTGCCTCCTTATGGTTGTGGTTCCAAGGTACAAGCATCCTGGTGGGCAACAGCGGTGTTGGAAAGTCTTGCTTGCTGAACAAGCTTGGGCAGGCAGATGCGGCAGAGCCGAAGGAATCAAGGAAAAAGAAGAGAAACCACGCCGAAATAAACGCATCGCGAGTTGCTTTCTTTTTTTGCGTGCTGGAAGCTTAAAAAGAAGCTTGAGAAGCTAGAAAGTGAACCACTAGTAGCTCAAGTAGCTATACAGGACTGGACCCTTCGCATCATTGCTTTGGTGTTTTGGACAGCTCAACCTTAAGACTTGAGACCACCTAATGGCAATAGCCTCCACCCTAGTAGCAATGGCTTCCAACCGACTCGCGATGGCCTCCAACCTAGTAGCTTCTTGCTACTAGTAGTAATGCCAGGAGCTACTAGTAGCTTCTTGTTCCTAATAGCAATGGCCGACTTGAGACCTTTAGAGGAGAAGCTAGAGGGGGGCTCTCAGCTAGAGGAGGTAGCAGTCTTGGCCACCGGACTTAGGTAGGAGGTCTTTGGAAGTTGCTCCTAGTAGCGTGCTTGCTCCTAGTAGTAAGGCCAGGAGCCCCTAGTAGCGTCCTTGCTCCTAGTAGCGATGCGCTTTGCTCCTAGTAGCGTCCTCTACCCCCCTATTAAGAGCAAGAGCTCGAGCATGAGCTCGGCTTTGCATGGCCGAAGTTTGTGGGGGGAAATTTACTTCTGGTAGGCGCACCCGTGTTACCCTGCCCCTTTCCGTAAGGTACGGTGGGTACAGAAAGGAAACTTGTAAAGAGCACACTTGCAAAGCCACGATTTAATCTTGACACTGACACCAGGGCCAGATTGAGGTCACTGTTGGTGACATCAGTGAAAAGCCTGAGACTCGGCGTGTGTGGAGATGAATCTTGTCTCGTTTGCTTTCCTTGTTACTAGAAGCGATGCACTTGTTACTAGTAGCGTCCTTGTTACTACTAGTAAGGCACTTGTTCCTAGTAGCGTGGCACTTGTTTCTAGTAGCTTTCACAACTGTTCAGAGCAATTAAGGCTGAAGCTGGGGCGACACATTACGACCACCACGACCATGTTGGTGACCAAGAGCCTTTTTGGCTAAGCTGTTTTCGCTGAGAGGTCTCAGCCTTCACCAACGACAGAGTGACAGAGTCTTAAACTACCTCCTTAAGCTCACTGAACTTCTTAGCACTTTCGAAGCGACTTTGGTCAGACGGTATCCAACTCGAGTTCGCCCGTTAGGCCCAGACGTAGGCTCTTCTCCTTCTCTCCTCGACCTCTTCGACCTTTTAGGCATCGGCTGCCTGGTGAGGGGCCTCCGGCTTTTCTCATTGATTCCCCAGGCAGGGCCGGGCCTCAAAAGCTTTGCTTTCTCCAGTGCTTTCCTCAAGTTTCTCTCCTTTTAAAATCCTTCTATTTCCATGTCCTTTCCCATATCTTACTAGTATGACCTTCTCAAGTTTTAAGTTGTTCCATTAATTGTCTTATTTGACAATCCCTTTTTGATTCTTATGTATTCTCTCGTGGGGAGGAGTATGCCATTCCAGACCCAAGACCTGATAAAGGAAACATACAACAAGAAAAACAAGGAAGAACAGACAAGCAAGATAGGAAAGGTTTGAAGAACCAATAGACAAGAAAAATCAGAAAGAAAGGTCTAAATAAAGGAAGACAACTGGTCGATAGGTCCAATACCAAGGTATATCTAGAATACTGAGACCTTTCCAGACCTAAGGCCTAATGGCATCACATTCTTGTAGATACGATTGGAATCTGAGGAACAGATGGACACCGTACACAGCATGCTGACGACACGCCTGTATTACGATTTGAATGATAGGAGGCCATCGCTAGTAGGTTGGAGGCCATTGCTATTAGGGATTAATTTGTGTAGGAGCCAGACGCTTCAGCATTTGGGATGTGAAGCCGGAAGAGCTCAAGGCCGAGAGTGGAGACAAACGCGTGAAACTAAGACCTTTCTTTCTTTCTTCATTTCTTTTCTCTTGTTCTTATTTTTCTGCTTTTGTTTCGTTTATCATTTTTCATTTGCTGTGTCTTTTCTTATCTGCAATGAATCAGTAGCCGGTGCTGGGGTTCTTCAAGAAATCTCACTTCCTAGAGGAAAGTCTAGCGACAAGAACCGGAGCAAGTATAACCTACTAGCGATGGCCTTCAACCTAAGAGCGATGGCCTTCACCTACAAGTGATGGCGCTTGTTGCAAAAAGACGAGAACACTTTCTTCTCCAACTTGCAAGCTGCCCAGGAGCATTTTATTGAGTTCATCCCCTTTGCCAGACACTGCAAGTTCTCTGATTGTCGGCATTTGCAGGCGCTTATTGGCGGAATATGTCTTTCTTGCCTATCTCTGGGTTGTTTTTGGCGCTTGGCTCATCTCAGGAGCCGGGCTGCATGGTCAAGCAAGCGGTGGAGGTGAGCCGACCATTCTGCCATTTTTGCAAGAGACTATCTCTTTCACCTTCTCTTCCTCCCTTCTTGTCTTCCTCCCTTCTTTTAGCTTTTTTCTTTCTCTCTCTCTCTCTTTCTACTTTTCGTTGATCATACTGAACACGATGTTTCTTCCCTGTGTTTCTTCCGAGGAAGGCGATGTTCCTCCAGAGCGCTACATGTCGTACCAGCGCATCTACCAGGTGCTGCTGGAAGGCGGACCCTCCGGTACTCGGACACGTCGTCGGTCCGGTTCCTTCCACGCCTCGGTTGGGACAATCCAAAGGGTACTTAATAGCAATGACCTCCCCACACAGACTCAGATGGCCTCCTACTCAGACTCAGATGGTTTCAGTAAGCGTTCTGCTTCCTTTAAACCATTTTGAACCTGAATTGGAGAGGCCTTGTTCACTCCACAAAACTTGTTTGTAGAATGGAGCGACTTTGAAGGTACTGAAGGCAGCTTTCGCTCTGCGTCCGGGAGCGCAGATTGGAAACACTGTCGTCTTTGCACTGTTTTGCTTTTCTTTTTATTTGCTCTTCGTCATACTTCTCCTCTTGTGTCCAAGTTCGTTTCTCGTTTCGAGAAAGACGTCTCTTTGAGGCTTTGGACCGAATCAGAACACGCCGAAAAGCGAAAACGAGCGAGCGTGAGAGAAGCAGATATTGGAGCGCCATTGAGTGCCATTGAGATTGCCGTATTGCGCAGTTCCTTTGTGTTGCGAAACTGAGCTTCAAGTACCGCTTGGAAAGTTGTTGAAAAGGGTCAGATGTTCTTTGCCTTGCGGAGGCTGCAGGACAAATCGACCGAGAATCAGCAGACGCTTGGCACGGTGCAGATTGTACATCTATTTATGTGTTTAAAGATCTGATGAGGCAGTTTGCATCATTTGCATCATGCTTTCAAGGGATTCTGCTGCAAGGACTCTTTGCGATCAATGGAACTTATTATGACTGATGAGAACAAGGACACGGATGGGATGGGATATGCTGCAGCAGCGGGAAAACCTAAGAGCGATGGCGGATGAGCACGTGTTTTGGTAAAGGAGCATTGGTCTGGGCTTCTTGACGTTCCTTCCGACTTCATGGGAGGGTGCCAAGCTTCAGCTTTTCCAGAATTGCATTGAAACAACATGATATGATCTTCTAAACATAAAATTTGATGTGATGCAATAAAACGGACAATACATTCTCCAATTCTTGTTTTCTTCACTTCAGATTGCTTGCTTTATTATTTTCTGGTGTCCTTTTCTTACTTCATGTTTACACTTCATGGTTATTCCTTTGACACCAGGCAGATGGGCGAGGCGTGGCAGTTCTTCACACCTTGATCTTTCGCAAAGCCGCAACGCTCCCTTTTAATGCTTCGTTGGCTTAATTAATAGCGATGGCCTCCAACCTAAGAGCGATGGCCTCCACCCTAGTAGCGATGGCCTCCAACCTACTAGCGATGCCCTCTTAATGATTCATGGGGTGGTTGAAATACGAAGTGCCACAGGACTATCAACTCTATCGCCCAAAGTGGGAGGACAGAAGTGCACACTGCTTTGGGCACATTGTATCTGTTCTTTATTAAAATCTATTTTTAAAGCATGCATACACATCGACAAGAATGAGATTGCTTTCGTCGATGTGCGACCTCGATGCATCGCAGGATCGCGAGGAGTCGACCGTGAATACCAGGAGCGACACGAAAGCGAGCGACTCTTCACGAGCGGTCATGACGTGACTAGGAGCGATCGGACGCTACTAGGGGCTCCTGGCATCCCTACTAGGAGCAAGGGCCTTACTACTAGTAACAATGTTTGCTAGTAGAAACAACATATAAAATGAGTATTATTGTTTAATTAGAATTAAATTAAACTTAGTAGTAAAGCGGTCATGACGTGACGCATCAGAATGCCCATCGCTACGAACGGGGCTCCTGGCATCGCTACGAACGGAGCGATCGGACGCTACGAACGGGGCTCCTGGCATCGCTACTAGGAGCTGTTTAGTGGACTAAACTGTTGAAGAATCCAAAGGGGTCAGCTGTTGTGGTCAGCGATGTCTACAGCTCACAACGCATCTTCATGGCACAGGATGGCCCGTCGCATCCTGAAAGCAGGAGGCTGCAGAGTGAGCAGAGGAGGTCGGTTTTGGGACTGTCGGCGATGCTGGATGGAGGCTATCGCTAGGTTGGAGGCCATTGCTAGTAAAAAGAAGCTACTAGGAACAAGTGCCTCGCTAGTAGTAACAAGTGCCTTACTAGTAGTAACAATTGCAGCATCAGAGCCTCCAAACATTTGGTGATCACGCAAGACGCAAGGGAACCTGTTCTTCGTCTGCACAGCTGAGTCCAGAGTGTTCTGGTATGTCAGGTAAAGCGCATTCTTTCTTGTTTTCTTGTAGTAACAAGAAGCTATTAGCAACAAGGGCATCGCTAGTAGTAATTTCATACGCCTGCACAACCGATTCTGTTTCCGGAAGTTTGCCCTGTGGTAGCCTGCTGGATGCTTGAAAGGCTGTTCCCGAACCATCCCGAACTGTGGTTGCAGGGCTTGGTGCACCTCGTGGGAGGCTTTTATTTGACGAGTGTTTGATTTGGCACCGTGGAAGTCGGAAAACTCGGGTAAGTCTGGGGTACAGGACGCGAAAGGACCAATTCTGCCAGACTTCGAAGCTTGGGAAGCTTGGAAAACGTCGAGGTTGCAATCGGACGCCGGAGGAGCGGCCACAGGAATCGTGGAATTTGCTCAGCGCAACGCGAAAGACGCCCAGTCGCCTGCAGTTAGAATGGGAGACAAAGTTCTCGGCATGAGAATAGTTCCCCTCGAGCGTTCTTGGTGCCAGTATCTACCAAGCAGCAGGGGTAGCAGCAGAGAAGACCATGTCCAAACACTTTTGCAGCAGAGAAGACCATGTTGAAAGATTTTTGCAGGAAGTTTGTTTTATTGGACATCTGCAACGGGTTTACAACGAGGGTTTTGGTTGTCATGTGGTCTAAGCATGCCTTTCAGTGTGTGATGGCCACTGCATAGCCCAGACTTGCGACCCGAAGCAAATGCGTTCTATATAAATGTGGGGCTTTTCTTTTCTGGCCTCCAACCTAGAAGCATGATAGCAAGAAGATCGGTGTGTTTGCTTGCAATGTTCACCTTGATCGCGCAGGCACAGAGGCTCAGGCTGCTGCAGCCACAGTTGCAGCTGCTGCCGCTGTCCACATCTCAAAAGTTTCAAGTCTGTCGGGTCAGCGTTTGTGTAACTGCGAAGACATCAACTGAAGGCAAAGGTCAGCAAAGGAGCCTTTGGAAGTGCCTAGACCGTCTCATACTTCCTTTTCTTGCTTCACGGAAGGCCTCCTACTCCTCAAATTTGGGTCCCGATGTTGGTCGTGCTTACAGCTAGGCCCGTAACACCTTTCAATATTTTATCCTGACAAGGCTTTGCAAATTCTTGAGATAAATGGAGATAAATGGAGCCCTTTCCGTAAACCGGATGAGAGGAAATTAAGTGGAAGCCAATGGGATCAACCCAGTTTGCCAAAACATCGTTTGTAGCGCGAAATGCTGGACAGAACTGTTGTGTGCTTGTGTATTTTAGGCTTCGGCTTCACAAGCGTTTCCTTCTTAGTTGGCGAACATTCTGTGTGCGCAGCAATTCTGCAGAGCAGCGACTTTTGTCTAGACATGAACTCCAAATGTACAATGTAGAAGTCTGAAAGGAAATCCCGGCACCAACAGCACAATGTGCGCATCTTAGCATCTTAGTTGGAACTTGCACTGGTGTGAAGTTGCCCCAGAGTTCAGCAATTGAATTTCACATTTACAAGAAGCTACTAGTAGCTCCTGGCATAGCTACTAGGAACCCGGGCATCGCTACTAGTAGCAAGAACACTACTAGTCTTTTTTGAAGCGGCCTCAGAGTTCTTGTTACTAGCAAAATAGCTACTAGTAGTAATGCCCTTTGTTACTAGTAGTAAGGCCAGGAGCGCCCCGTTCATAGCGTCCGATCGCTCCTAGCAGCCCCAGAGTTCTGTCCAGTTTTGAGGCCGGTGGGCGGGATCCCCAATGGGTTCAGGCAGGAGACCGAGTGCGCTTAGAGTGTGGCGTAGTCTGGACATCACTACCCGCTATAAAGTTCATTATTTTCATGCTTTGCTTCTAGTAGCTTCTTGCTCCTAGTAGTACGACCAGGAGCCCCTAGTAGCTTTGCTTTATATTCTTTTTCTTTAAACCTTTAGACATTTGTTGTTTCTCATGCTTTTTCTTAACTTCTCTAGGCAGGTGTGGCGGCCTCAACACCATCAACAGATCCGAGTCACAGCACCACTTCGGCGGGCAAATCGATTCTATCAATGCTGAAAACGCCACAGTCCCAGTTTGAACGAAACACCACAGCACATGCAGCAAGTGAGTTGGAGGCCATTGCTACTAGGAGCAAGAAGCTACTAGGGGCTCCTGGCATCGCTACTAGGAGCGATCGGACGCTACTAGGGGCTCCTGGCATCGCTACTAGGAGCGATCGGACGCTACTAGGGGCTCCTGGCCGTACTACTAGGAGCAACGACGCTATTAGCTTATTGTTTCTACTAGCAAACATTGCTACTACTAGTAAGGCACTTGTTACTACTAGCGATGCACTTGTTACTACTGGCAACAAAACGCAGCAAAGATCTATCATCGGCTTGCTCCAGGGCTCAGGGCGGCAGCGGTGCTCAGCTTGGTGCTCATGGTGGCTTTGGCCAACAGGGCCAGGCCCAGGCGAAGCTAACAGTTCCGATCTCAGATGTGAAAAGCTACTAGTAGCGTCCTTGCTCCTAGTAGTACGGCCAGGAGCCCCTAATAGCGTCCGATCGCTCCTAGTAGCGATGCCAGGAGCCCCTAGTAGCTTCTTGTTCATGTAATTTAGTAACTTATAGATTCTGAGAGATTAAGTCACTACAGCAATATCACTGAATATCACTGAACACGGGCAAGTCAATCATGGGTATGTTACGTATGACACACTAACATAGTTCAGAACGTTGGAAATCAATGTGCCAGTTGCATAGACCTTGGACCTTGGATGTGCTTTTTTCGTTAACACAAATGCCTTCAAGAGCAAGAATGCAATCCACATAATATCAACTTGGTTCTAATGATGGTATTGTCTACAACCCAAGTCTGACCGTCTACTTATTGTAGTTCCCGAAGCGCAGATTGGTGGCGCTTTTCATTTCTTGCCGTCTCTGGTTTATTTAGACCTTTAGACATTTTTTTCTTTTTGTTCTTTGCCTTTCTTTTTTCATTCATTTCTTTATTTTCTCCCTCCTTTCCGTTTTTCTCTTTTCTCATGCTTTCTCCTACCCTCCGTGCGTTCGACCTCAATCTCCCTTCAATGGGTCATGTTCGCAGGGCAAGGCTCTTCAAGTTGCGAAAAGCTACTAGAAAGCTTCTTGCTCCTAGTAGTACGGCCAGGAGCCCCTAGTAGCGTCCTTGCTCCTAGTAGCGTTGCCAGGAGCCCCCAGTAGCTTCGTTACTGCACTCTTTTAATGACCATGCTCCGTAAATTCGGACCTGCATGGTCCATTATGCGGCACGAAATCACTGATAGGGAGGTGAAACATGTCAGACAAGTCGTCACCCTTGGATCTTACACCTTGTGCATGATGTTCTTATGACCATCCATTGTGGTTTTCCAAGTCCTCAGCTATTGAACCAGCAGTCATTGTGTCCGAACTCCATTTCCTCCACAGCACTCCCTCTTTACCTAATGATGCCCTAAATCCAGGCACACCTGTCAATGAGACACAGCTGCTCGTGTGCATTCCTGAACCACTGACAACATTCCAAGCACATCCACGCTTTGTCAAACACAAACAGAAATGGCCCAGGGACATTTATTAAAAACGAAACTGCTAGTAGGTTGGAGGCCATCACTACTAGCTTGGAGGCCATTGCTATTGATAACTCAAAAGAACAGCTGTCAGAGTCCTAGACCAACTTCTTTGCCTGATCTTGAGGCTTCGCCCGTGCCAACTGCAGGTCTTAGACTTAGAACGAACACC